ACAATGGCGTGTAAATACTCCAGTCGTCACTAGGCATTCCGGTGGTTGATAGAGTCAGCACAACTTTATCACAACGGTGTGTAAATACTCCAGACGTAGCTAGTCAGCCCGGTGGTTCAGCGTCAGCACAGCTGTTTCACAACGGCGTGTAAATACTCGAGTCGTAACTTTGGAACCCGGTGGTTGATAGCGTCAGCACAACTGTATCACAACGGTGTGTAAATACTCCAGACGTAGCTATGCAAACCCGGTGGTTGATAGCGTCCGCACAACTGTATCACAACGGCGTGTAAATACTCAAGTCGTAACTAGGGAACCCGGTAGGTGATAGCGTCAGCACAGCTGTATCACAACGGCGTGTAAATACTCAAGTCGTAACTAGGCAACCCGGTGGTTGATAGCGTCAGCAGAACTTTATCACAACGGCGTGTAAATAGTCAAGTCGTAACTAGGCAACCGGGTGGTTGATAGCGTCAGCATAACTGTATCACAACGGCGTCTAAATACTCCAGTCGTAGCTAGGCAACCCGGTGGATGATAGTGTCAGGACAACTGCATCACAACGGCGTGTAAATACTCCAGTCGTAACTAGGCAACCCGGTGGTTGATAGCGTAGGCCACTTTATCACAACGGCGTGTAAATACTCAAGTCGCAACTGGGCAACCCGGTGGCTGATAGCGTAGGCACAACTGTATCACAACGGCGTGTAAATACTCCAGTCGTAACTAGGCAACAGGGTGGTTGATAGCGTCAGCATAACTTTATCACAACGGCGTCTAAATACTCCAGTCGTAACTAGGCAACCCGGTGGTTGATAGAGTCAGAACAACTGTATCATAACGGCGTGTAAATACTCCAGTCGTAACTAGGCAACCCGATGGTTGATAGCGTCTGCACAACTGTATCACAACGGCGTGTAAATACTCTAGTCGTAACTAGGCAACCCGATGGTTGATAGCGTTAGCACAACTGTATCACAGCGGTGTGTAAATACTCAAGTCGTAACTTGGCAACCCGGTGGTTGATAGCGTCAGCACAACTGTATCACAACGGTGTGTAAATACTCCAGACGTAGCTAGGCAGCCCGGTGGTTGATAGCGTCAGCAAAGCTGTTTCACAACGGCGTGTAAATACTCCAGTCGTAACTAGGCATTCCGGTGGTTGATTGCGTCAGCACAACTGTTTCACAATGGCGTGTAAATACTCCAGTCGTCACTAGGCATTCCGGTGGTTGATAGAGTCAGCACAACTTTATCACAACGGTGTGTAAATACTCCAGACGTAGCTAGTCAGCCCGGTGGTTCAGCGTCAGCACAGCTGTTTCACAATGGCGTGTAAATACTCCAGTCGTCACTTGGCATTCCGGTTGTTGATAGCGTCAGTACAGCTGTATCACAATGGCGTGTAAATACTCCAGTCGTCACTAGGGAACCAGGTGGTTGATAGCGTCAGCACAACTGTATCACAACGGCGTGTAAATACTCAAGTCGTAACAAGGCAGCCCGGTGGTTAATAGCGTCAGCACAGCTGTACCACAACAGCGTGTAAATACCCAAGTCGTAGCTAGGCATCCCGGTGGTTGATAGCGTCAGCACAACTGTATCACAACGGCGTGTAAATAATCCAGTCGTCACTCGGCAGCCCGGTGGTTGATAGCGTCAGCACAGCTGTACCACAACAGCGTGTAAATACTCAATCGTAGCTAGGCATTCCGGTGGTTGATAGCGTCAGCACAACTTTATCACAACGGCGTGTAAATACTCAAGTCGTAACTAGGCAACGCGGTGGTTGATAGCGTCAGCACAATTGTATCACAACGGTGTGTAAATACTCCAGACGTAGCTAGGCAACCCGGTGGTTGATAGCGTCCGCACAACTGTATCACAACGGCGTGTAAATACTCCAGTCGTAACTAGGGAACCCGGTAGGTTATAGCGTCAGCACAGCTGTATCACAACGGCGTGTAAATACTCAAGTCGTAGCTAGGCAACCCGGTGGTTGATAGCGTCAGCAGAACTTTATCACAACGGCGTGTAAATAGTCAAGTCGTAACTAGGCAACCAGGTGGTTGATAGCGTCAGCATAACTGTATCACAACGGCGTGTAAATACTCCAATCGTAGCTAGGCAACCCGGTGGATGATAGTGTCAGGACAACTTTATCACAACGGTGTGTAAATACTCCAGTCGTAACTAGGCAACCCGGTGGTTGATAGCGTAGGCAACTTTATCACAACGGCGTGTAAATACTCAAGTCGCAACTAGGCAACCCGGTGGCTGATAGCGTCTGCACAACTGTATCACAACGGCGTGTAAATACTCCAGTCGTAACTAGGCAACCCGGTGGTTGAAAGCGTCTGCACAACTGTATCACAACGGCGTGTAAATACTCAAGTCGTAACTAGGCAACCCGGTGGTTGATAGCGTCTGCACAACTGTATCATAACGGCGTGTAAATACTCCAGTCGTTACTCGGCAACCCGGTGGTTGATAGAGTCAGCACAACTTTATCACAACGGCGTGTAAATACTCAAGTCGTAACTAGGCAACCCGATGGTGGATAGCGTCAGCACAACTGTATCACAACGGTGTGTTGATAGCGTCAGCACAACTGTATCACAACGGCGTTTAAATACTCCAGTCGTAACTAGGCAAACCCAGTGGATGATAGCGTCAGCACAACTTTATCACAACGGCGTCTAAATACTCCAGTCGTAACTAGGCAAACCCGGTGGTTGATAGCGTCAGTACAACTGTATCACAATGGCGTGTAAATACACAAGTCGTAACGAGGCAACCTGATGGTTGATATGTTGATAGCGTCAGCACAACTGTATCACAACGGCGTGTAAATACTCAAGTCGTAACTAGGCAACCTGATGGATGATAGAGTCAGAACAACTGTATCACAACGGCGTGTAAATACTCCAGTTGTAACTAGGCAACCTGGTGGATGATAGCATGGGCAAAGATCCCAGCAGTCGGGAAACAGGGAATGAGCCATGTAAACCAGATCGGACAGTGGGACAACCCGATCATTATTGCTCGGGTCCTTGTGAGGTTTGGCCCCAGATACAGATGTTGAGTCCCGTATCAACAATGTGATGTTTGTTTTTTCTATATAGTTTATCTTGGTTAAAATCTAGCGTTTGAAACTACACCTACCATCTACCGCAACAGCAGCGTCGATAGCCACAGCAGGGGACCCGAAACGACCTCGACAAAATCTGGCCAGGAAGGGATGTTTGGAGTTTAGGCTCTTTTCTTCGAAACGTTGCTCCCCTTGTGTATTTGAAGCACTGTTTAATCAGCCCGTACACATCACGTACACGTACACAATGACCATACACTTTTTAAAACGAACCAGCATTGTTTATGGTATGATATATCTGTTTTAGTAAGCTTAAACATCAGCTGATATATGTATTAATGTTAGGTGTTGAAGGGAAATAGTGTTTAACTATATTTGTTGTTGCAGTCTATGACGTACACTTCTTGAGGTGACGTCTTCAGCGGTGGTGTTGAAGTCGCCCATGAAGATGCCGGGCACCAGGATACAGACACTGCTGTTGCCTATCTGCGTCCTTGTGGCTGTCACCATCTGCAATGTAACAATGGAAACAATGGCATTCTCGCAGGACGGGGCTGGGAATTCTTTGAAAAATATAATATGATCCAGAACAAATTTTGGGGGAAAAATTAACCTAAATACATGTTACGTGTTTTGCAGCTGTGACCGAAAATAAACCCCGTTTAACAAAAAGTCCCCTTCCCCGCAAAACACACACACACGCGCGCGCGCGCACGCACATACAAAGATACAAACATACACACATACACACATACACACATAGAAGACGATGTTTGAATTGTGTTATATCGGAAATGACTAGGTATGTCTATTGATAATAAATACTGACAATGTTGAAGTCGTACACCGACACCAACTGTTGGGTGCCTGCTTCCTTGGGTGGTCCGTTGTAAGAGACAAAGAAAGCTGTCTGTGCGGTTTAGTTCATAAACACACGCTCCGTCACCGTCACATTGTTGTTCGGCTGGGAGGAATTAAATATACAGAGCATAATTTCAGAACACCATTTGAGTAAAACAAAATCATCTCTCCAAAATAGATACGTTTTTTTTTTAACGTACACTAGAGATGGAGTTAAGTCAAACAATAGTTTAGAGTTTGTGCAATTTGCGACATACCATTCCCCATTATTACAGCGGTCTTGAACATCCTAAAGGACAATATTTTCCAGTCCACAGTCTGACAGTAAAGCAGTTATACCTATGCTGTACAAATTCCCCGACTCAAAGAAACACTCCTGTATTAACGGGGAGATACCAGACGTAGATTACCAACATCATGTTTCCTCGTCGAAAGAAGCCGCCTCTTTGGCCGCCGTCCCTGAATTGCCCTCCACCAAGAACCTCTTCTCATTCCGGTCCCTTGCCCTCCGACCTCTCCCTTACTTCCGGTCCCTTGCCCTCCAGCCTCTCCCCTACTTCCTGTCCCTTGCCCTCCGACCTCTCCCTTACTTCCTTTCCCTTGCCCTCCAACCTCTCCCCTACTTCCTTTCCCTTGCCCTCCAACCTCTCCCCTACTTCCTGTCCCTTGCCCTCCAACCTCTCCCCTACTTCCTTTCTCTTGCCCTCCGACCTCTCCCCTACTTCCGGTCCCTTGCCCTCTAACCTCTCCCCTACTTCCTTTCCCTTGCCCTCCAACCTCTCCCCTACTTCCTTTCCCTTGCCCTCCAACCTCTCCACTACTTCCGGTCCCTCGCTTTCCGACATCTCCCCTACTTCCGGTACCATGCTCTCCGACCTCTCCCCTTCTTCCGGCCCCTTGCTTTCCGATCTCTCCTCTGCTTCCTGTCCCTTGCCCTCCAACCTCTCCCCTACTTCCGGTCCCTTGCTTTCCGACCTCTCCCCTACTTCAAGTCCCTTGCCCTCCAACCTCTCCCCTACTTCCTTTCCCTTGCCCTCCAACCTCTCTCTTACTTCCTTTCCTTGCCCTCCAACCTCTCCCCTACTTCCTGTCCCTTGCCTTCCAACCTCTCCCCTACTTCCGGTCCCTTGCCCTCCAACCTCTCCCCTACTTCCTTTCCCTTGCCCTCCAACCTCTCCCCTACTTCCGGTCCCTCGCTTTCCGACATCTCCCCTACTTCCGGTCCCATGCTCTCCAACCTCTCCTCTTCTTCCGGCCCCTTGCTTTCCGATCTCTTCTCTGCTTCCTGTCCCTTGCCCTCCAACCCCTCCCCTACTTCCGGTCCCTTGCTTTCCGACCTCTCCCCTACTTCCTGTCCCTTGCCCTCCGACCTCTCCCCTACTTCCTGTCCCTTGCCCTCTGATCTCTCCCCTACTTCCGGTCCCATGCTCTCCAACCTCTCCCCTACTTCCTTTCCCTTGCCCTCCAACCTCTCCACTACTTCCGGTCCCTTGCCCTCCGACCTCTCCCCTACTACCTTTCCCTTGCCCTCCAACCTCTCCCCTACTTCCTTTCCCTTGCCCTCCGACCCCTCCCCTACTTCCTGTCCCTTGCCCTCCGACCTCTCCTCTACTTCCGGTCCCTTGCCCTCCAACCTCTCCCCTACTACCTGTCCCTTGCCCTCCGACCTCTCCTCTACTTCCGGTCCCTTGCCCTCCAACCTCTCCCCTACTTCCGGTCCCCCGCTTTCCGATCTCTCCTCTGCTTCCTGTCCCTTGCCCTCCAACCTCTCCCCTACTTCCGGTCCCTTGCTTTCCGACCTCTCCCCTACTTCCTGTCCCTTGCTCTCCGACCTCTCCCCTACTTTTGGTCCCTTGCTTTCCGTTATCTCCTCTTCTTCCGGTCCCTTGCTTTCCGACCTCTCCCCTACTTCCGGTCCCTTGCATTCCGATCTCCCCCCTTCTTCCGGTCCCTTGCTTTCTGACCTCTCCCCTACTTCCGCTCCCTTGCATTCCGACCTCTCCCCTACTTCCGGTCCCTTGCTCTCCGACCTCTCCCCTTCTTCCGGTCCCTTGCCAGAAACGTTCCAACCTCTACTCTCTGTCCGACTACGTCTCAGGAAATCACTGAAGTTATCACGACTTCCTGGTCCGGTATGAGTAATATTGCCGTGTATTCTGCTCCAGGACCGAAATCGTCTGTTTCTATTCAAGTCCGGCAGTAAAGCAAAAAATTTTCCTTCAGCATTGCCCGTTTCCCTAAACTGTCTGCCCCCACCCCCAAGGCTTGTGTCTCTGTTGCGCCACCCTCCTGTACGTCTCTGACTCTGGCGCCAGGACCCCGACAAGTAAGGCCACAAAGAGAGAATTGTTCACGATGAAACCAGATGTGGTTTAAAGATTACAAGCTGTATCGAAGAGAGCTTTTATATGCCCCAATCTGTCCCTCAGGCCCCACCTGTGTCCGACAGTGGTCAGTGTAGGGTCAGTCCATATATATGATTGACAACCAGACAGCCGGGGTTGAATATGTCCTAAATTTCAGACATTATTCCTTGAGGCAGTTTTCAAATAACATAATCCCCGATCCATACACAGCTACGAGTGACCTTTTAATCACTCAGAGTAAATGAATGTAATTTCCACTTCCTGATTTTAATAAGAGGAAAGTTTTCGAGCAACATGTCGAGCAATATTCCAACAGCTCCAGCCTTTGGTGTTTACATATGCAATTCCCTATTTTGACTAGTACCATATGTTCCCGTGTTTTTTTCAGGTGAACAACTGACTTGCCTTTGCATGTGTTTGTGACGGGGTAGGATACGCTCGCGAACACCTAGTATCATTACTATTTGATAGTGATTCATATTATACATGCTCATGGTATAGTTGGAATCGCACAATCGACCCTGCTTTATGCTGAGATTGGATATGGAAAGGGTTTTGTCGCATTAATTATTCTGAAACACAAAATCCATATTTCAAAGGCGGTTTAAAGCAGTATGTTTATTCTGAAAACCTAACTAAGGCGGCCTGATTTTTATTACCTAGCTTACTGAACCACCTTGCTAAAATTCCACAAATTTGGAATAAAAGTTTCTTCCCCTCGAAGTTGTATTCTAATCTCAGTACTTGTGACACAATTCAAGTCAGTACATTTTTGTTTTATTTTATCTCTTAATAAAATATGATTTTAATATGTTCCTACGCGTACCCTTCGGTTCTGGAAACGTTTCGTCGAATCGAAATGACACAATGTACAATCGGAAAACCCATACTTTCAAGAGTTACTGTAACATCACTGCATTTGTTGGTACCCATGTGTGAGTAAATGGGTGGGTGGTAATATTATGGTGATTATTCATTTATGTCACATAATCTAAACATGCAACCATAATCCGTGACTATGTTGAGATTTCCGATGACGCAAAATAAAATATATGTGGATATATTGTAACTGTTATTTTGAATTAAAACAACCGAGTCACTTCCCACGATACACAGTCAGTGAGAACATGACCATAGCTGATCCCCTCCCCTTTCACACACACACACGCACACGCACACGCACGCGCACGCACGCACAGACACGCACGCACGCACGCACACACCCAAACACACGAACACACACACACACGCACACGCTCTCTGAGCAAAATAAAATATATGCCACGCACGTACATACATACACACATACACAAGCCACACACGCACGCAGACACATTCACACGCTCACACACACACGCACACACACATACATTCATACATACATACATACACACACATACCCACGCACGTGTACACACACCACATACATAGATACATACATACATCACCTTCAAGATTGTTGCATTTATATGGCGACGCGATGCACGTGATGCCTCTGAGATCCAAAACGCAATATGTGTTAGTCTGAAAGAATACTTTTCAAAGAGAAAACCCTTCATTTCTACATTTGCGCATTATCCCAAACAGGGGGTCCCACACCAAGTTTGGGTGGTCACGAAACGTCATAAAATCTCTCTGTTTTCGCCTGCCATGCATCACGGAAGGGTCAAGATCACAACGCCTATGCTGAATTAATACATTACATCTAAGACTCAAAACTGTGGATTTATTAGAGTCCCGTTAAAGACTTTACATACCTATTTTTTTATTTTAAAATAAATGAAACAAAATAATATCTGCATTTTATCACTTTCATATACTGAACAACAAAAGTTCCTTTGACACTGAATAAGATTTAATGCAAAGTTATGTTTTTTACCCAATCTAAAACGATTTCGGTTTGCAACAGATAAAAGACTCCTGTAAGTGTTCAAATGGTTTAATTTGCCATACTGACTTCAGAAAATTCGTGATTTCATAAAAAAACACGAACATGCCAAAATGTCAATTTACAAATCGTTAGCGTGTGTGTCCACCTCTGGTTGCGATGGAAGCAACACATCTTCGTCTCATGGAATGGATCAGGCGTCGCACAAAGTCCTGTGGGATATCTGTCCATATCTGCTGGAGCATGTTTCGAAGTTCCTGGCGTGTCTGGGGAACACGTGGTTGGCGCCGAAGGCGCCGATCAATCTCATCCCACATGTGCTCGATTGGTGAGAGATCAGGGGAGCGAGCCGGCCAGGGGATGACATTCACGTTATTTTGTTGAAAAGAATCCTTAACAAGTCGAGCAATATGAGGCCGGGCATTGTCATGTTGAAAGGTAATGCCTGGGCCATGACGACGCAAAATCGGTAGAACAACAGGGCTGATGATCTCGTCGCGGTAGTGCTGTCCATTGAGATTTCCCTCTACCACTATCAAACGGGTCCTCTGTCTTGCTGTAATCCCACCCCATACCATAACGCTGCCGCCCCCGAACCGATCTTCTTCCATGACATAATGATTGACGTAACGTTCACCTCGACGTCGGTACACTCGAATCCGTCCATCGCTGTGGCTGAGGTGAAAACGAGACTCGTCAGTGAATAGAACTTGTCCCCACTGCATGGTCGTCCAGCGTAGACGCTGTCTGCACCACTGTAGACGTGCTTGACGGTGGTTTCCTGTCAAAATGGGACGTCTGGCGGGTCTTCTGGCGACAATCCCTGCACATCTGAGGCGACAACGTACGGTTTGTGAAGATATTCGTCGAAGGCCAAGGATGCTTCTTGCAGTCACTGTTGCTGGTTGGTATCGATTTTGTAGGTGTGTTATTCAAATCCTGTTGTCTTGTAGGTTATTGGTTACGTGTGGCCTGCCACTCCGAGGATGGTCTCTGACTGCATTCGTCTGTTGACAACGTTGCCATAAACACCAAATGGTATTTCTGTGGACGTTAAATTGTCTTGCAACATCACGTTGATTCGATCGTGCTTCAAGCATACCAATGGCTCGCAGACGTTCATTTTCAGACAGGCGTGGCATTTCGTAATGTTAAATAATTGCGTTATTTTGTTGTTTTTCTGAGTGGTTGTTGTCAGCAAGATGCTAAACAATGCATATGGAATCCCGTTAACGCACATGTTTTTATACTCATTCTTGGGTAGTGAAATGCATGGGGCTTGGGTAAAAGTCAACTTTTGCATGGAATGCATGCTTTTCTGTAACAGTTGTGTTTTTGTGACTTGATTCCATACATGTACTACAATATTGAAAACCAAACTTTACTTGTTTGAAAAATACACTAAAATATTGGTGTCACAGGAACTTTTGTTGTTGAGTATATTTAACGAATATGGGGACGTGCGAGTGTTGACATTGCATTATGGACTTGTAAAGGTCATACAATAGTTACAGATATCTTACCTGCAGTTTTATTTATTGGAGGTCATTGTTTGTTCATTTAAGAACAAGGATATCACCCACTGAAATACCCCAACGCATTACATGAGATACTCTATTGCCGGGATAGTACGTATGCCAAATATTTCTATTTTCGCATAACACTCTGGTGCTTTGTGGCGGGGTTCTTGTGGGCTACACTGCTGGCTACAAATTAACTTGCTTCCAAATTAATACTCGTGCTTAAGGCTACCTGCTTTTCAGCGGGAACCTTTCCGGAGTTACCTGCTTCTCAGTGGGAACCTTGTCATTCCCGACTTTTCAGCTGGGGAATCGTAAAATAACATACGTTGGGGCAAACAATTGCCACGTATATGGGCCCGGCGGCGGAAGTTGTCTTGTCAAGCGGTAGCTGACAGTTGGGTCCGCTGCGGTAGTCGCACAATGGTTTTGCTAATGGGGCCAGGCAGTGGGATCTGCTTTGGCCGGCTACCTGGGGCCGGGCAGCCGTAGTCTGACTTAGGCCAGCAGCGGTAGGTGCTTTTGGCAGCATGGTAGTTGCCAAGCACTGGTAGTGTTTAAATATGCTACCATGGGGGCCGGACAGCGGTAGCAGTCTCAGGCCAGCAGGGCTAGCTGGGAATGGCCGTTGGCCACCTAGTGGCCATGGCAATGGTAGCATTTTGGTATACACAATTAGCAGCTTAGTAAACCACTAGTACCTGCACACACTCGGCCATTTAACCCAATCTCATCTTCTGTTTTATTATAGGCACGGGCATCCACGGCTCGGTGCCTCTCCTTGGCATATCGCGGGATAATGCCGGGATAGTACGTATGTCAAATATTTCTATTTTCGCATAAAAAGTATTCAAGGCCAACATTTTTCCACAAACTCATTCCATCAACATATGTGCCCTTTTTATGTCAATAAACTTGATCTTTTATAAGTTTGGAGACAACTCTTTAACTTTCTTCCCTGATATTTCTGTGGGGAACCAAATTAAAATACACATCGAACATCTGCTTCGTCAGTGCTTTAGTTGCTTGTGGTGGAGCAGCATATGGTCTGAAATTGTTGAAATATCACTCTCAATATATACTGAATGCTTCCACAGTGAACGTTTTTCAGATAATATATCATATACATAAGCTTTCATGTCAGGATTTCCTAAATGGGAAGTTTCCTCTTCGTCTCTGTCTTTAAATAATACAAAAGCAAGTCCCTTAAAGGTTCCTGTCGTTGGTGTTACCATTTGCTTAATTAGGTGTAAGAGTTATCCATCTCTATGTAGAAGGAGGGTAAATGAATGCTCCCTGATATCAATGTCTGTCTTTCATGGAGTCAGTTGAAGAAAAAGTTATTCAAACTGGAATAAGGTAACACCAAGCATCACCATATGAAACTTACTTGTCCTTGGTGTAACCTTGTTATAAAGAAAACAATTTCATATACAAAACATCCTTACAGGCATAATAGAATAGTTAAATGTACTGATAATGAATGTATTTTGTATTGTTATTTCATGTTGAATGAAAATATGACTTTGGTGTTACTGTATATATACGTCGTGTTCCCACAAGTCAGCAATTAGTAACTCTGAATAGGCAATGCCAAAGGATAAAACATCTCTTGTGCCATTGAAATTACACCTTAATTATATTAACACTTTAATTTGTATTGTTATTAAAACATTTTTTACTTAGAGTTGGATAAAGCTAAATGTCTTTGGTGTTACTTAATATGGACTCGGTGTTACCACAAGTCAGCAAGTAATAACTTTGAAGTTAGTGTTAATCGGTAAAACATTCATAGTTAGTGTTAATCGGTAAAACTTCATATTCACTAAATGTCTTTGGTGTTACTAAATTTGTCCTCGGTGTTACCATAAGTCAGCAGTATTAACTTCAAAGTAAACGTTGTGAAAAAATGTCTGATTGCAAATATGCAACACCAACTATAGTGCACCATTACCTACTGGTTGATTATTGTGAGGTGAAAGAAAGGTCGTTATGAGTAATGGTAATGTCCTTGGTTTTACCACATTGTTTTTGGTGTAACTGTGTTTTTTTCTTTGGTATTACCAGGAGAAATTTTAAAAATGATTCCGTAAACCCACATTGCATAGCATGATTTTCAGTAAGTACAAAGAACAAGTTAAAAAACTAAAGAATATTGAAATCCTATCAATCATTTTGGTATTGTGTGAGACACAGGGAAGAGAAAATTATCAATATTTGTACACTGTAGATATCGCTTGATCTCACCCAAAAGCCAAAACATTTAAAACCAACACGTATTCTACCATTAAAACCATGAAAAATAAAAAAAATACTTTGAATGAGATGGGACTTTCGTACCCTCCAGGGGGACAATTATTTTACGTTACTTCAACCCCCTTTGAAGGTACAGCCACCAATAATCTTAGTTATTAATTAGTTCATTCTACCAAATTAAAATCACTTACGTTTTGCAATACATATTATCAACATTTATCAATTAACTCAATTTCTTTTAAAAACCAAAGAATTAAACGAGGACTTACATTTAAAAGATCCTTTATGGGTGAAACCTGGAAATAAGTATCCCTTGTGCTGGAAAAATATATACAGCCAAGAAGACCATGCTTGACCGTAATTCTCCATAGCGTTACCTGCAATTCCAACATGACTGGGCAACTAGCAAAAGACGATGTCGTATTGGCCAGTAGCAAGGTCATTATATAGTTCTAAAATATCTAAAACCAGTGTCTGACTTGAAGAGCTTAATTTTATTGCCTGCACACAAGATAATGAATCAGAAAATATGATGAACCGTTTAAAGCTGGACTGTTTTTTAATATACTCATACACAAAAGAAACGCAAGTGGTTTTAAGCAAATAGGTAACAAACACGGAACCATAAATTGATACGAGTTTTAGCATGTAGTGAAGCCTGATGGTGTTATCAATATTTTTTGTTGCATTTTGGAAGCCCCGAGTAAAAACGCAACATAAAAAACGAATCGCCAAAACGCACCATTTCAATGAATATGTGGGTATCATGCACCCATTTCTCGCGAAATCGAAAATGCACAAACTGTCACGAACTGTAGTGGGTATAAAACTGTGGCCGATTCTTGGACCTACCACTCCTTGGTCAACAATGCCACGCCTAACTCAAATTCAGAGAAACCAGGCTATCGGACGTTTGGAAGCTGGAGAGTCTGTCCAAGATTTTGCCCTTCATTTCAACGTTAACATAACCACAAATTACCGTCTCCTGTATCGATACAATGCTACACAGACCACAGATGACCTTGCTCGGAGCGGTCGTCCTAGGGTCACCACACCTCGACAAGATCGGCAGATTACCCCTCAACACCAGCGACATCCGTTCCTAACTGCAAGTGAAAGTGCTCGACAGACCATAGGAACACATAATCAACACATTAGCCAGGACACTGTGATCTGACGTCTCCGTTCCAACAACCTCAGATGTCGCCGACCAGCACGTCGTCCTGTTCTCCAACCATGGCATCGACAAGCACGACTTCAGTGGGCACAGGGTCATCCCAATTGGCGTCATCGTGAGTGGAGGCGTGTCATCTTCTCTGATGAAAGTCGCTTTTGTGTCTCCCATGCAGACGGAAAAGTCAGAATTTGGCGGCGTCAATGTGATCGTTTCACTGACAGAAACGTTGTGGAAAGGGATCCATGGGGTGGACCCGGTGTCATGATATTGGCAGGGATTGGACTTAATGCGAGACTTGGACCCATGTGCTTTCTGAATGTTGGTCAAGGTCGGGGACACGGCGTCACTGCTCAGCGGTATATCGACCAATTGATTAGACCCCACGTTGTTCCATTTTTTGCACAACATCAATAACACATTTCCAGCAGAACAACGCTCGTCACCATGTTGCCAGAGCAACCATGGCCTTTCTGCAACAACACAACATCCAGCACTCAGCCCTGATCTGAACCCCATCGAACACTTGTGGGATGAGGTTCAAAGGCGTCTGCACAATGTGCGCCCAGTCCCTACAACTGCCGATGAACTATGCACAGCTGCTCTGGATGTGTGCAGTAGGATCCCTAGGGCCTTCACAAATCGTCTGATCCACTCAATGTACAGGAGATGTGTGGCAGTGATCAATGCTAATGGTGGTCACACTAGGTATTGACTGACATTTTGGGTATTGACCTGAAACTGTGTAAGCCCTTAACATTTGAAAAAAACAATTATGTCATCCATTAAACTGTCTTCAGTCAAATTTTTGTCAATCTTGCCCTGTTAGTATTTCTTGTCTTTACTGTTGAAAATAAATAACATGTATACTGCATACTCGACTTGCGTTTCTTTTGCGTGTGAGTATATATTCCAAAGTTTTTAATATTGCTTTGGCTTCAGCAGTGAAAATTGAGCCATGGTCTGGTAATCGGAAAGATCCGGTTTTAGATCCAATAACAGCAGCAATGGAGACCTTGCCACCATCCTTGGATCCATCTGTAAAAATGGAAGGGTGGGATTCATATTATTTTTAATTTAACCCCAAATCATGTGGATCTTTTAAAAGACCATGCATCCATGTGGTATCATGCGCTTTTTCTAAATCGAAAAAGATTGATACTGCATGCTGATCATTTACAATTACTTTTTGTCAAAAGATTCTGAACGTACCAGATTGTCAATAGTACTTCTATTTTGACAGATTGTTGGTTTCCAAGTACCAAACCAGTCGATTATTTACTATTCGTTCCATGGTTTTGCACACACAACTGGTTAGTGATTTTGGTCTATAATTAGATGCATCAGTACAGTCCCTACCAGGTGTAGGTATGGGAACAACTATTGCATTACGCCACGAAGGGTGAAATTTCCCTGATGTCCGGATCTTGTCTCTAAACAGGAATCAGGCAAATGCTTCAGGAGATGATAGTGAATATTACCAGCTCCCGTTGCAGTATCGTGCGCTTGACCTAGGGCAATATTTAGCTCCTGGAGCGAAAATACCTCATTATTATCTTCTCCCTATTGAGAATTAAAATCAATCCTCTTCTTTTCATGTTGTTTCTGATATTTTTGAAACTTAGGAACATAGTTCAACGCAGAAGAGTGTTTGGCCAGCGTTCCGCCCAATTTATTGGCAATGTCCAATTTATCTGTCAATAGATGGTCACCTTCCTTGAGATGGTGGACAGTCGATTTTGACCCTTTGCTTTTATTTTCTGCAATCACGTTTCACACCTTGGATATTGGAGTGCGAGATTTAATTTTAGTGACATAATTCCTCCAAGACTTAGGCTTATTTTGTTTGAATGTATGGCGTGCCTTGGCATTTGTGATTTTGACATGATTTAGACTATGTACAGTTGGATGTGTGCGTAAACCATTCTCAGCCTTTCTCCTGCACTTCCTAGCCTGTTTGTATTAATTATCGAATGTGTGGATTTGAAGAGGACTTTGGAATGGATATGTCGGCAATTTCATTTAAAATATCTGAAAACAGCTGAACAGGATCACCAACATTCCTGAACATTTCAGGCTTCAACCTATCCTGAAAGGAAGGCAAGTTGGCCCCATGGGGGGAACATCTGATGGATTATCTTGTAATCTTGTATTTAAAGATGTAACTCTTAAAAATTGGTCCTGGGACCTCTGCAGTTCCACTGTACTAGTGGATTGTAATTGTTCATGTT